CCTATCGTACATGGAGTCAAATACTCCTTTTGCCAGACTCCGCCCTGTTTGTAACTCTATCATACACTTATCACAAACCTCATGGCATAACTGACAGTTAAAAAAATTTTTTTTTACCATCCCACATCCATTTGCCTTATCCTCAGGGGAACCACACTGTATGCCTCATTCTCAATTTAATTGATTGAGTAGAGTTGACGCCACACCCAACTATAAGGAGAGGACATGTGATGCCAGTGTGACCAGTCAGATCACTGAATTCCCCGGCAAGAGCATTTTTCAGGGAAGAACACATAATCCGGTGAGAATCCACAAGACAGAGTGGGACACTCATCGGGGCTGACGAGAGTGTGGTGCCTTTTCTGCTGCCCTGGAACCTTGGAGGAAGGGCGCCTGGCACTGTTAACGACGGTCCTGCAGAGCAGAGAATGAGGCCATCGCAGAGCAGAATGGGGCAGAGCAGAAAAGACAGGCTAGGTCTCAAAGGTAGTAGCATCTAAGATCCACGAATCCAGCTATGCCTAAAGGAAACCAGATCTCCCCTGAGACTTGCCAGGTATGTGAGAAAATACATTCCATTTTTGCTTAAGCCAGTTTGACTCAAGACTTCAGTCACTAGCAATAAAAGCGTCCTTACATGATACAGCCCTTTATTTTGTCTAACTCCTTGACTAGCTTCTGACCGACCACTTGTAGTGTCAACTGGTAGGTGTTCAATATGTGCCTATTGGGTGAGTTAACAAATCAATAAATAAACTTCTCTGAGAGCAGGAAATCCAAGAGATGTCTGACAGGTAAGTTATGGGTCTCGAAAACAGAAAGAGGTCAGGGTTAATATAAATATAAAGTCATGAGGGTAGATGAGCCAGATCAAGGATCAAGAACAGTTATAAGAAGATTGATGTTCTGTAGAATTGGGTCACTACAGGTCATTGGCATGTATGAAAAGACATATTTTACTTGAGTTGTCCAGTAGGAACCGACAACACAGAATATGGGCCAAGACCTCTGGTTGGAAGGTCGCAAACCATGAAGTGCGGGTGAAGGTGAGAATGAAAGCCAGATGGAGAGTCCAATTAGGGCTGCAACCTGAAGAGAGTGGACAGAGAAGCAGAGTCCACCTCTGAGGCACTGGCCTGAGGACTAGATTTCTGGACAACCTCTTGCTGGTGGAGGCAGAGGTGGAGGCTGGAGAGAGCTCCCTGAGCAGGGCAGCAGGGATGGTCTTACTGAGCTTCTAGGGCCCTGGAAGAAGCAAGAGGACTGGAGACCACTGTCGAAGCAGAGCTGGTCCGGGCAGGTTGCCTCTATGGAGGTTACATGTCCTATCAAGATCAGTACTTCCGTTTATAGGTCATTGGCTCCACTATGTAGACAAGTCAACCAGGAGATGAGGAAGGGAGCAAATCCTGAGATCTAGGAACAGTCAGGAGACACAGAAAGAAGAGCTTGTTTGTAAGGCTTAATAGGAAGCAAAGTCAGGTAAGGTGCTTAAGAATGCACCTTTTTCTTTTAGAGAGATAAGAAAACCATAAGGCGATCTGACTTAGCCTATGCCCAAAAGTGTGTCAAAGATGATGAAATAAACAATAATGTTTCTTGCAGCCAACAAGGCTGCAAAGGTAGTGATGGAGAAGGAATCTTCAGATTTGGCTAAGAGAAGAGTAACAGAAATCTCAGAGATGGCTATTTTAGTGAATACAGGGCATGGGAAGAGTGAATACGTGGGCGAGGGGAGCTCAGGTAGGATCTGGGTCAGCTAAGCAGGGTTGGAAAAAGGTTTAGAGAATATGAGCATAATGATCAGTGGGAACAAACGAGTGGTTAGGGAGGAACTGATTATATAGAAAAGGCTGAGTTCTTTCAACATCAGAAGAAAAGAATAAGAGTTCAGAGTACTGAGTCTGGGTTGGTTTGGGAAAAAATGTACCTTCTGAGAACACGACAAAGGATAAAAATAGTGATACAGGAAGGATGCCCTCAGTGGATTTTCTTTCAACTATTATTAACTTTTATGCTCAATGCAAGAGCTACAGAAAAGCATTAAGAGAAAAGTAATCCTTCCAATCTCATCAATCTGTTAATATTATGGTATAGTCTCTTCCAATGTATGTCTTTCTATATATACATTTATATTTTACTATAAAATATGCTCATATCTGCATGTACATAATTGTGAGAGCCATTATAAAGTTCTTTTTATATTTTTGTGTTATAGTTTTTAAAAATCCATAATTTTTAAGGACACCTATTTAATCCTATGGATAGCTCATAATTCATCTAAATATTCCCTTATTGTTGGAAATTTAGTCTTTTTTTTCCCTATTCTAAATCACACTGTTATGAATATCTTTGCACATAAATCTGTGACCCCTAAAGATTTAATTTTGCATTTAACTATGTTCCAGAGTTCTTGCTGAGAGAGGTTAGAAGCAATAGCTTCAAGGACTTAAGGAAGTTGTAGAAAGTTTAATAAAACAACTGTCATGAATTGGGGACGGGCCATGTGGGTGTTTTTGTTCCTGCCTGGAATGTTTGAGCAATTTCTTACTTACCATATGAGCTGCGATGGCAGGCAGAACCCATCTCTCACAGCACGAGTAAGATATTCCTTTCTAGGTTCCCTTTGCACTTAGTAAAAGGGCCAGTGACTTGGACAGAATATTGTCTAGATATGACCAGGAGCTAATTGAGCATTAGAACAAGGTAAGAGGAGACTCTGTTTTGGTGGCAAGTGTGCCACTGGCAGCATCCAGTACCAGTGGTGCCAGCAGCAGCATTCACTGTCCATCAGTGGTGGCAGCAGTGTCCCCCCAAACCTCTGTGGCCTGGGGATTTTGGCCACAGTTCTAGCTGCTCAGCTACCACCTTGTCCTACTTTAGTTAGCTTTCCTGGTAATTCTGAGAGTTCTCAATAGCCCTTCATGAAATTGTTTTTTTGTTTCAATCAGGGTAGATTTTTATGGTTTGTTACCAAGAACCCTGACTGGTATGGAAAGAACAAAGACTGTAAGAACAGCAAATGCAGAGTTAGAGAAGAAACTGTCATAGGATTTCCTCGGGCAAAGCTGAGAGACCTGGACCGTGAGCCCAGGAAGCACACAGTGAAACATGCATGAGAATTGTGCAGGAAAAAGAGCTCGGGTGAGTACTGCAGGGAATGGAAAGGGCATGCAAAAGGCCTCATCCCAGAGAGGAGGGCAAGGGCAGTGGGATGAAAGCCTCAGAAAGCTGGACTGAGGAGCATCTGAGGGTTCTAAGGGAGTAAGGAGGTGCACAACACGTAAGGGTTTGAGTCAGGACCGGAAGGCCGGGGGAAGTGCGAGGAGGCAGAGCTGGATGTCAGCCATCAGTGGAGGTGGACAGCAGGAAGAGGATGTGCAGCAGATGGGCTGACATGTGCACTTAGCTCTCAGCATGGTACACTGTATTTGTTTTTATGTCTATTTAATCATTTGAGTAGTTAACAGTTAAACAGAACTATCTGAATATCAAGACCAATATGAAATAACCAAATAAATCCTAAACGCTACAATCACCAACTATTTTTGAACCTCAAGGTCTCTTATAATTGTATTGCTAAACGCACAGAGAACTTCCAGAGTTGTCATCATTGTGCAGACAGCATTTTGAGGTCTACTTTTCCAATTACATCACTACTTCCATTCCACGTTTCTATGGAGGCATTGCTTCACTGCATGAACATGGAACAGTCCACCTAGCCACTTCCCTACTTCTTTACCCAGGCACAGCTTTCATCTTCCTTTAAGTCATATGAAAAAGGTAAATAAGTTATAAACTGTTTTTATCTAGGCTAATGCATTCATGTTGTAAGAATACCGAATTCATTGCTGGCTCCTCAAATATCACTTGTATTTTGCTTGGTGACAGAATGTTAACGTGAAGACCAGCTGTAGGCGAGGGTGGGACGGACCATTCCCAATGTAATCAAATAAAGAACTTTGGTCCTGTAGGATCTTGCTCAGTCGATAAGTTCCCTATACTGACACCCCAGCACCGATAACTCCAGTTCGGCCAGAAGATTCTTGCTTGTGTTACGTTCACATCATCCATCAAGAGGGGAAACCACATGTTCACGAACGGGGCTTTGCAATCACACAGACCTGGGCCGGCTGCTTGACAGCAAGGTGACTAGGGACAAATGAAATATTTATTGAGCAAAGATAATATGCCAGGTACTGTTCTGGGTAGGTATTAAGAGTGTATTCGTGAACAAAAGTCAAAAGTCCCTGTGCTCACAAAGGTTACATTCTAGTAGGTAGACAGAAAACAACAGATACAAAATAACATGAATATAGACTACATTCTATAAGGGAGCAGAATAAGGGATCAGGAAGATATGGGGATCAAAGATCTGGGAGGAAGTGACTCATGAGCACATACTTGATGACATGCATGGACAAAGTTCTGCATAAATCAGCCATCAATTAGAACAGGAGGCAGGAAAGAAGATGATGTTGAGTTTGTGGACTGACTATAAGTTACCAAGAGCCAATGAAAGGGTTTGGGAAGTTGAGAAGGGTGAGAATTTGAGACAGATTATAATTTAACAGCGCTGTCTGTCCAGGTGAAACTCTCTCTCTGGGGTTTGAACTTCTTGTGGAGAAAAATGTCAACAAAGATGTAGTGCAAGATGAGCCTAGTCCTCACAGTCCTTCGGGGCGGGTGCATATCTGGTTCTCATGTACCCGCTTTCCTGTTCCGATAAGGTAGGGAATGTCAGGGCTGGAGAATGGTAACCCGACCAGAAACAAATGTAACACGGGGAAAACAATATCTACTTAACAGCACTGCCATGGGATTAAACGATACAGGTAAAGCATCTAACGTAGTTCTTGGCCCATGATAAAAATTCAATAAATGATAGCTATTATTATAATCCATCCAAAAGTGAAGTAGTACACTTGTGGCATTTTTCAAACTCTTAAGAGTACTGTGGCACCAGGTTTGTCCCTTACTTTGTCACAGACATGCCACTGACCTGTCATGATTTAACCTACCCTTCAGAGAGTGAGTACCTTATAACACAAAGCTCCATTTTGGTCACTTTATTGTCTACTCACTTTTTTTTTTTGCCCTGTGAGATCCACTCCAAGTGATGCCTATGTAAGAAAATAATAGAAGAAGCATGATTGCCAAGAATAGGATCCTCTGGATGTCCACGGATGGGGGGTGACCAGAGGATTCTCTAGCCTCTCTGCTCTGGATCTGCTGAGTCCCGGAAGTGTACTTCTCAGTCTGTGGCCTAATGGCCTTGAAAATCCACAGCCATAAAGTGGGAAACAAGCCTGATCTTGTTCATTTCAAAACAAGAGTTGGCTACTTTGCCCTTGTGTGGGAAACCAGGCTTCCCAACCTTCTTGTGATCATCCCAATTTGGGCCTGAGCCACGGGGGTGGTAAACAGGTAGCAGTGACACACAGACATCGGGTCCAATGTCCCCTCCATGACTAGGCGATGCCCACTGTCGTTTCAGTGCCTGTGAGTAGGAGCCTCCGCACCTGGCCCCGCACAGTTTGGCCGCCCTGTGACTGAGTGCGGAGAAGGCCAAAAAAGCCAGAGGGTGCCAGCGCCACGCCGGGCTGGCCTTTCACTTCCTCGCCCTGATGTTCCATCACAAAAAATATGCAGATAATTAGACTTATCATTTTTTCTTTGTCTGAATGGGTAAGCCATGGCTGCTCTGCATCACTGAAGATCATGGTCAGGCTAACTACACATTGTTTTCCTAACTTTCCTGGCTACTTCTACATTCACCCGAGGAAATTGCATCTTTTAGTTTTCCTGTTCTCTGGACCCGATGGTCAAGGTGACGATTTCCTGCCTTCTTGGTCTTTTATTGTTTTCATTGTATTTTCAACCCTCTGAAATGTTTTCACGGAGGTCTTTGAATCCTGGCAATCTGGCATTTTCCCCTTTTGTTTTCCCCACGCCCTGCACTCGGCAGCTCTCCCAGCGGCACAGATTGTTAGAGCTAGATGCAGCCTCTGAGGGTCATCAGTTCAACCCTCTCCCTTTAGCTGGAGGAAGAAGGGACATTTACAGGGTGGCTGCTACTTGCCAGGCACAGAGCCTGTTGGTGGAATTTTGCATAACCGATCACCTCACTGAAACCCTATAAGAGTCCTCTGGGTGGACATCATGATCCTTACTTCTTAGACAAGGAGACAGAGGCACAGAGAAATTAAATGACTTACGTATGATCACACAGCTGACATTCAAATCCAGCTTTTACAAGATGAGCCTGGGGCTCTGCTGTCCACCATCCTGGTCCAGCACTGTCCTGTGCCTGCAGGCCAGATCCAGTGCTAGCCGGAGTGGGCTGAAGGCAAAGTGGGCCCCAGGACAGATACAATACAGGGAGTTTAACTAAAGGTGAAATTATGGAAATCGTTATTAATATTTTATAGTTTTAAAATTCTTTTTAGTATATACTATGTACTACACATAGTATAAATTTTATATGCTATAAAATTTAATATTTTATAGTCAGTGGCAGACTGTAACATGCCATTGGACTAAGATGGATTAGAAAAACTTTTCAGCAGATAAAATGGGGAAAATGGTTAACATTAAAAAAAGAGACTATCCTTTCTAAACAGGAATTGAACTGGCTTGAATTCAAAGCTATTACATAACTCTGACTCTGTCAAGTCCCCCTCTTAAGCAGGTAAGTGACATTTTCTTTGTGATCCTTCCCTAATGTTTTTTACTTGTACCTACGTATAAAGTTTGCCTTGCTGAACTGACAAGTAGTCAGTTTTCCTGAGATAATTTATGCACAGATAATTTTTCAGTATAAAAAAAGGCTTATGAATTTTTATAGAGGATTATCTGATTCTTTATCTAATTCTGAGTCAAAAGGATACAAAAAAAACACTTTATAAGAATCCGAGTATAGTGTGTGTAAAGAGAGACAGAAAGAGACAGATACACGTATGCAAAGAAAGACAAGGCAAAAAGATAGAATTTGACAAATTGAGATGCGTTAAGAACTTGTCTCTTGTTCTGGTTAAGAACATGGTACTCTGGAGCCAGGCTTGGCTTCCACACCTTGAATAAGCTGTCAAGGTTCTCCAAAGACCGTGCTTCCCTCTGCACACTCAGGTGTTCAAAAGTTGTTTTCCTTTCATTGTCCACCACACACTGACCAGAATCCTGGGAATCCAACAGCAACTTGCAGAAGCAGAACGACACTGCTTATCAAAATCAGGGTGTTTTCTTTTGAGGTTTTTATTGCCTTTAGGCTTATCTGAGTTTTGTTAAGTATGTTTGGCTGCACTAATGACTCCTTCTTATTACAGACTCAAAAGACAGGAATGTTGGTATGACGTGAGAGAAGCAGTGAGTTTATGCCAGTTCCACTCGGAGAGGATCTCCTTTGCACTTGCAAGTAGCATACTGATTATGTCCTAGTGTTTTGCAGGTCTGCACATCACATTTACTTGGGAGTACTTGAAAAAAATGTAGTTGTTTTCCAAATCAGAATCTCTGGGTCCAGGGCTCAGGAATATGCATTTTAATCAAGCTCCCAGGTGATTCTGGTGCACACTAGAGCTTGGAAACCTCTGCTCTACACTACAGGAAGAGGGCTGGCAATCTTCAGACATGGCACTACACCTGCATTCATTCCTTCAAAGTGAGTCTGTGTGCTAAGGGAGAAAGAGAGGAGGAGGAGATGTGGGTATTGGTGATCCATCAAAGGCCACTCCTTCTCTCATCCTACCCAAAACTACCTTGGGGACAAGCAGCTCAGCGAATTCATCTGAAGGAGCTTTTCGGTGAGACTGAGGTTCCCAGTAGCAGGGAGAACTGCTTGCAATCACAGTGCTCAGCCAGGACACCGTCCCCCACCCCCCGTGGGCTAAACTTAGAGTCATGTCTTAGAAAGCAAGTAACCCTGGGAAGAGTCCTATCTTAAAAACTACAATTTAGCTCCTTAATTATCTGTTAATGCTTTAGAAAGGACCAGTTGACCGCATTCTAAGAATAAGGATAGGATACAGAGAAGGGGTGGGAGGACAAGGGTGGAGAGGTGGCAGGTGGCAAGAAAGCATATCCTCTGCCACTCGAAGTTATCTTAGCTGCCAAGGTTTCCCGTCCCACTGTGCTAAGGGAGCATCTCTGTAGACGTGGGAAAGCTTTGTTGCTCGGCATCACAGCCTGGGTCTTCGGGGAAGCGGGACCAGCAGAGCTTGATGGTGGGCTGTCTGTCAGTGGCACCAGAGTGACTCCTCTGCCAGACTGTCTTGAGGGCGCGAACAACAAGTTCAATCCAGCGAGTAATCTGGGGAACGTCTTGCCTGACCAAGAGCCAAATATTATTAAGGAAGAGATTCTCTGCCAAATCTCCAGGTTTTCTAATTCAAACATGAAGCCCCCCTATTCCTTGAAACAACAGTTTCTGTCTACTTGAAACAAGATGGGGTAATTGAGGCACTTGTCATACAGATGAGACAACCCAGAGCGATGGGCAAAGGGCAGCAGTGAGGACATGGACTCTGGAGCCAGACTGCCAGGGAGTAAATCCTGACTCCGCAGCTTCCTACCTGTGCGATCTTGGGCTAATTATCTCATCTCCCTGTGCCTCAGTTTCCTCATCTGTAAAATGGGGATTCAAATAGTGCTTCCGGCAATAGGGTTAGAGTGAGGATTAAGTGAGGTGAACTCTGCAAAGTCCCTCATGCATATTTGTTGCTGTTATAACCTCTCTGCCTAAGGCTGCCTCACAACAAACATGAATAGAGGGTCTTGGAGCCGAAGGGGGAACAGAATCCTTGTGTCATCTGTAGGCTGATGTTCTTTTCAGACCAACAGTATCTCTTTTGACTGAATTATAGTCTTCCTTCCTCCCCTACCCGTTGCTGAGGGCACTGCTGGCCACTCTCCAGGCACCTTCTGTTGGGGCAGCAGGTTCTCAAGTCCTCTTTTAAGAGCCTTTTAAGAGAAAAAGAGGTGGGATGGCAAAAGAATAACTAACTCCCTAGTTTGTATAGTTTAGCTAACTGGACAAATAATGTACATCATGTTATTTATTGGTAGGACTTCCTAGGGCAAGATCGAAAATAAAATTCTATTAGAGGAACAGTCTATTCTAGGGTATAGAATGGAGTTATCTTAACTAGGATTAAATCACATTTCCTGAGTCTGACAGAGCGTTTCCTGGGAGAGTAAGTGCTGTGTGACCATTAATGCCACTCGGTCATTGTTGTTCATGACTCATACCCCCACTGGCTGTGCCACTCCATTCAGCCTCCCTGCCGACCCACAGTGCTTTGACTCTTTGAAACAGACCTGAGAGCTGGGTCTGACACTCAAACCGGGCTCCCTTTGGTTGGGGGAAATGCTGGCAGTGGGGACTTCTGAAGGGGTCTTGAGCAAGGCACTAACACATGTGACAGACAGTAACTTTAAGTTTGATGTTAATTATAATAAAGTATGTTAAACGCCACGCTGTAATTCTAATAACTACCACTAGCCCATCGCTCTGGGTTGTCTCATCTGTATGACTTTTTAAGAAAGTTTATTTATGAATTCAATAGTTATGTCCTGAGAAGGAGGGCAGCACAGAGTAATGATCAGAGTGTGGACACTGCAGCCGCAGGCTGCCGGCTGTGAATCCTGTCTCTGCCGCCTAGCAGCCATCAGACTTTGGCCACGACAGTTTTCTTATCCGCAAAATGGGGATAAAATGGCAGGTAACTAATGTGTAGGGTATTGTGAAGATTAAATGAGTTAACACCTGTAAGGTATTATAATGATGTCTGGCATTGTTCTGGGACAGGGCCAGGGAAGGTGAGTATGCCACGGGGTGGGGAACAGGGGTGAGGGGGAGGAGCTATAATCTAGAAACGTGGAACCGCGTTCCATCCCTATTGTGTGCTTCGCACAAAACAGGTGTACGACGAAAGTCTTACGGGTGCCAGCAGAAACTGCTGATTCATTGTTGGGTCTCTAGCCAGTTTAATATCACAAAATACCTTGGGAAAAAAAACAATAGTTTCATATATTGCCTCTACAAATATCAACAAAAACCTTTGTAACATGTCATTAGTTAAGAACTCTCTGCTCCAATACCGAGAGTCTTTAAAAACTATGAAAT